GTGAGTTTAATGGGGATGTGAATGGAATGAATTCCTGCAGAAGTCTTTTGTATTTGATGTTAGTTCTTAACACAGCTACGATGCTGATGACATCATAAAATAATCTGTTACTCTTCACTTTGGATGGTGATAGAATGATTCGAGATAATGCTTTGGGTTAACTGGGCCTAAAATTGAGGATGGCGAAAATGAGCTGTGATTTTTGTACAGTTAGCATCTTGGGTAGCTTTTTCTCTTATCTATCAGAGAGGACCTTTTGACTAGAACTTCTCCAAAGCCTACTACAATGATGTCAGGATAAAAATAGGCAATTCTATGAGGAACCATCTTCATTTTATGAAAGTGAATCTTAGGTTAGCAAGTTAACCAATCAGTTCCAAGTATTTTTCATCCACCGGGTAAACAGTGGATATAGAAAACATTGATATACATTGAGATAAGTTAGCAGTTCAACACTAAATTATATTATGCAGTTACATTCGGATGGTGAATGTAATCTTCGCCTCGTGACATATTCATTTCGGGGATAGATTTGAGAAAAACAAGTACCGATAAAGAAATCGTCTACTAGTTTTTATTCCCTAAATTTGATCAACAGAATTATTCTTCAATTATATTACTGATTTGTTCCGTCACTAAGATTCCACTTTATAAACAATAGCATGTTTTTATTTTTAGCAACTTCAACTTATAGAAAAGTTAACACAGTGCACTTTTCCTTTCGATTTTCATTATATTCTCCATGCAACCTTATGAATAGTCTGACATTTATTTTTCCAGGTGAACCATTTACTAATTAGTTGACTGTTCAACCAAGCTGCTTCTAACTCTTTCAGAAAGGAAAATTGTGATTAGGGAAGTGTGCAGTTGTAACTAATTGATGAAGGTAAATGACTTGCGAACGAATGGGTCTTGGTACAAACCCCGTACTAGAAATCGAGATCTGGGCTGCCCTCACATAACACGTGTGGCTCAATGTCTTTTGCACAAAATGTACACATAGCTGCTGACTACATTCCCATTCGAATGGTGCAGCTAAGTGTGATAACATTTTAATACATTCCAAATGCTTCGTACAAATTGCTGGATGAGTGATTGCTCAAATTAAGCCAGGTTATTACCTCTAGCCAACTGGTAAGTCATTTAATTATAAAACCTCAAGTAGTTGTTACGTATAATGCACTGAATTAAATGTTTCCATCAGTTATTATCTTTGTATTTAAAAGAATCTGGTAAAAATATTGTCAACAAATATTTGAAATTCTTTAATTGTCTATCTCCTTTTGTACATGACAGTTTGATGATAATCTACAAAGCAAAAAAAGTGCTGAATACATCTCATTTTTCCTTTCAGAACTTTTCTTCCCTCTTTTTTAACATATGCACATACACACGCATTTTAACAGCTTACAGGACTTACTCAATAATCCCCTAGGGTAAAAGATGAGAGTGTTGAGTGAAAAGGAGAAAATTTAACACCAGTAAAACTATCCTTTTTATATATTTCTGTTTATTTTTTTCATAACTAAACCTTGGTAAATGCATACACTAAGGTAAGATTTTATTGGCAAAACATTGTGTTTTGTTTTGATTATCTGATATCACAATCGGCCAATAGGGAAAACTCATTAAGGTGGTAAGGAGTTACGACGGGGGTTGAAATAGGATTTATTTACTAAAAGGCCAGAGTAGAAGTGACCGGCAATCAGAAGAATAATTAAGTTGAATTTGAAATTCAATACAAATCTGTGAAATTTAATTACTTTAGAATCGGTTTTATTCTATGAAAAAGTTGATTTAAAAATTTTTAGAGGGCGGATTAGAATCGGATAAATATTACGATGTATTTATGCACATTTCTAAGTGTGAACAGAGCAAGGAAATCACTATTATAACCAATGGAATTAAATATGAAAGGCTTAAGAAAACAGATCTCAGAAGAGGAAATGTACAGTTACTGGAAAACATGAACTTTAGAATTCCATTTCAGTGACTGGTGACTATCACTGACTCGATTTTGTATGCAGCCATTAGTACACTGTTCTCTAATCCTCAAGATAGGGATAAACATCTTCACAACGCTTCCTGGTCAACAATAATTGACCAGCTAACTTTGATCTATAGTGAAAAGTGTTTTTAGCTGTTGTCTAAATATTTTGACAGGTGAGTGCCGTGAAATAATATTTGTGAGGCATCTCTATCAGAGTACAATATACAGTAGAATATGACATCTATTTTAAACCATTCTCATGTATCAAATATATTCAAGTGTTATACTTTTCCATTTGTAGGTAGTTTATGTACATAAAATAGCCATTTCGAGATACTTGGATCTAACCAGAGTACTTGCATGCTGTCCATTGGACAGTGCTATTCACTTCATAATTTTCCTATCGCTTCCCATAATTGTCAGTAGGAAGCAAGATAATAATTTACTACTTTTAGGCAGTACGAAAAAGAATAATTTTTTATCAGCTACAGTCATATGTAGTCGCTATCCCGATTTGTCAGTTTACCATAAACCATACTATCTCTCACTGCAAAATTAATGTAGAAATGATGACAATCTAGACAACACTAATAAAAGCCTTTTGTATAATTGACTGATCATTGTTAGTGGACACCTGAAAACGAGAGAGAACTGAAAATCTACTTCGTCCTAGTATAGGATTCCTTAGAAGTCTCACGATGGTTCTAACCACGACCCCTGCTGGGATTGTGGCTGTGAACTGTTGAGGAATTCCATACTAGGACGAAGTAGATGTTCAGTGCCCGAGGTTTTCATTAGTCCTCTAGTGAATGTTACTCAGTGTTGAAGGCTGCTTTGAAATCACTACAACTGAAAGTTGCGACATTTAAGAAAATAATGCTCTGTAGTCTGATTACACTTTATGAATGCCATTCCATAAACTTGGAAAGGCTGGTTGAAGAAGATACTTCTTGGAAAACTCATAAGTTAGGATCCTGTAACAACGACTGAATAGTTTCAGTCACTATCTTGAATTAAATTATTAGGTTGAATGAAATTAGACTTTATTTAGATATTAAAGATCTGAACTTCATACTGCTAGATGCACAGTAAATAATTCGCATGTGTTTTTCACTCTTATGGATATTCAGTTGAATTCCGAAATTTTAAGTCAATGTTGAAGTTGATCTTCGCTATGTTTAATATACACAACATAAACATATTCAGATTCTGTATGATTAATTCTTAGACCAGTATTCATTTCGATACAACAGTAAAATTCATTTTTTGACAACATCAAGATACCATGAGTCTAAAGACAGTTATGCACCTCACCAATGATTCCCACAATCACTCAAGAATTCATGAAGAAAGATTTACAATGAGAATGTGGTTGAGTTTGGTGTTAGGAAACAATCAATAGGAAGCTCTAATTAACTCAAGTTTCATTCTTGTTGACGTCCATGAGAAAGGCGTAAGTATAGTAATCAAGAAAGTGATATTTTAACAGTGATTAAATCATGACCTTGTAATCAAGCAAAAGTTATCTAGTGAAACTTTAATTTTCATGAAATATTATTATTTGAAAGTAAACGTCCCCTTGATTTTCTGGCGATATCCCCTAAAGTACTTTGTTCTCAAACATGAATATATTGAGAAGTAACACTAGTTCATCTTGTGGGGTAAAGTCTTGGTATATGTTTCGAAATACATGAAATTTAAATTTTCGGTATGGGGTTTCCTTTAACAAAAGTTGCTCATTTTAGTAGAGGTGTAGTCTTTGAAATGTGCTTACTTATCTGCTATGTAGCCCGATAACAATCACGTGTGCTTCAGCAGGAACTGAAGAGGATAATGACTTATTGTCATTTAAGAGCAATTTTCATCGTAAACTAGTATAAATTGAAAAGTGATTGAAAGTTAGGTAATATTTCTGTAACCCAACCTAAGAAACTTTATTCTCTTAACTAACAAAAACTTTATTCTAGACATATCACAGTAACGTAGGAATGAAAGGATCTACTTCGGGATTTTTTCCTACTTTCGACTGGTCAGCTGCATGCACCTGCTCTGAAGTAAGCATGTTGTTCACACTAAGACTTGAACCCAGAATGACCCGTTTCAGACGAAAGAACGTTGTCCACCAGGCCACTAAGTTACGACAGTCATTCCTTGTGTGACAGGTATGATTTGCGTGCCATTGCTTGTAATTACCTTTTGGTCATTAGCCTGAACTGATAGCTTTCTATTGGTCTAGTGGATAACGCGGTTGCCTTTGAAGTTATCATTCTTGGATGAGAGTCATAGTGGGAACAAAATCACTCACTGGCAGCTGGGTATATCCAAGTGTCGAATCTCAAATAGGATAAAATGTGTGTCCTGAGTTTCATTACTGACCACCATACTTCATTAATATCTAACTGAAACCACAAGTAATATTCAGGTATCCACACAGGAGTTCATATGGCAATACATACTAGTCAGTTTGGTTCAGTGAACAATGGGGAATTATAGGCAAAAACGTAGATAACAGGAATATTTAAAGATGTGTCATTTACTTGTCTATATATAATGATTAGTAAATCACCGTTTTTGTTTGTTTCTGGGAATAAATGATTATGAACAACAATCAAGCATGATAAATAAAAAACTTTGAAAATTCCAAAAATTCTACTAATAATGATATTTTAATTGACTAACCACAGATAAATCTCATAATTTTTCATGGAATGAATTAATTAGTTGATATATACAGCCCATGATAAGCAATAATAAAAACAATAAAGGTAGAAGTTTATTATATATATGTGCACAAGTTTCAGTAATCTCACTCTTTACACCTTTCACGAAATCAAAAAAATAAAAGAAGAAAGAAAATAAACCAGCTAGCAAAGAAACTGAAAAGTTAGAATTCAAAACAATAATCCAAGTATATATTGTGGTCAGATCAGTGTGGATGTCCCCTAAGCGAGATGATGAAAAGTTGATTGCATAACTATCATATTTTCTTACTGTTCCATTAAAGTTATTATTAACAAGACGATGAAGTTGAACTGAGCAAATTTTCTACTGAATACGGTAGTACTTTTTCATCATTGCTAGTTTGTAAACTGCTTGGATTTAATAAAGGATAATTTATATGATTCGATGTATCACATTCATTTGGGTAATGGTTAACAGCATTATCATTATTACCTCCACTCATACTAGTATGATTAGTTGTAGTAAGACTGGATAAATTTAAACCACCTGAACCACTGGAAACGTTTAAATTGCCTGGTATTTCAGTGGAATGTGGTTGATTTTGTTGACTTGAAGGAATTTTAGATAAAGAAGAGGTTATTGAAGGGTCAGATATAGAAGAGTGTGTGAAAGTCATTTTTTTCTGTTGATGTAATCTCCGTTTTTTGAGATTATTATGACTATTATTATCATTATTGTTATTGCTGTAGTTTGGTAATGATGTTTCTTCTATTTGTTCCACCGAAAAATCCTTTCCGAATAAATTTGTCACACCATGTTGTGTTTCAACATGGCGTCTTAAGTCAACTTTACGTTGAAATGCACGCAGACAATGAAAACAAGAGAATGGCTTGAAGCCAGTGTGTTTCCGTGAATGTGTAATTAGATTTGATGATTGACTAAATGCTTTACCACACTGCAAACAGATATAAGGTTTTTCACCTGCATAAAGACAGAAAAAAATAAATCAAAGCAATGTGACACAGTTTACCAGTGTATTAGCATAATTAAAATAATGGATTGTTTCAGTACGGCTTGAAATAATGTTACATGATTCATATGATACACTGATGTGGTTGGCTTTTAAATTAATCTGAGCAACCATATGCCTTAGGCTTTGAGTCACACCTTCGGTATGGTGCCACTGACATTACTTAACTGCCCAGACCTTGGTAGATAAAACAAGATTCAATACTGTTACCGGCTGTTTGACATCCAGCTGATAAGTCTTGAGCAGGACGAAATGCGCATCCTGGATTCCGCTGCTAACCACTATCCATTATTACTACACATTTTTTTAAAGTATTTGAAAGTGAATATATTGCAATCACTAACAAGTTTCGTTTTACGCCACTTACATTATTCAAGACACAACTTAGACATACCTTTAACAGTTGAGGTCATAAATCTACATTGAACTTTATTGCTGTCCTACCTTACTAAACTAGCAGTAGTGAAACTTTCTAAGCATCATTTTCTTAAGGAGATGTCGATTAATCCAAATATATTCCGGTAACTATACCACTTTTCAACTACTGCACTCCATATTTCATATTTCCTCATTCATCTTTTTGTTTTTCTGATCTTCCATAAACCTCTCACGTAATATGACTCATCTGGTTGTTTCTGTGTCATAAATCTGTTATTATTTCTTACAATTTGTACTGAAAATTCAAAATCTCCATTTGTATTACAGACACTTTTCATGTGATTTTACCCACTCTGTATACCAAGCTTATTTTACTTTAACTTAAAGGTGTGTTTCTGGTTCTTTCCCATACTGATGATGGATTTATTTCCGACTGTCATCAGCTGAGGAGAGGCCTTAAAATAAAAAAGAACTCAGAACACTCAACAGACCTTATCATTTCTGTTTCAGTGATTACAAAATAAACAGTGACTTTGAAGATTGATGAGATAACCAATTACAGTTTTTATTTTATGAAAAACCACCTTTGCGGCTGAAATGCCAAAATCTGATTGGTTACTTAAGCAGTTTCTGCAATAACTCTCAAAGTCACTACAGTCTTAAGGTCATTTTTGTATAACAGTTTTCGTTGGCTGATCTCTTTTAGCTATTTACTTTCTTCTGTTTTCTCCTTTTATCAATTCAGTAGTTATAGGGAAGAAGAGCAAATACTGTCGATTTGTAGATCATTTGTTTTACTGAGAGGCTTGGTCGAAGACTTCCTATTAATTAGCTCTAAGAATATACTAACAAATACATTGTATTCCTATTAGTAGCGCACAGATAACTAGTTGGATTGGCTAGCAAATTCTACTAAGTAAAGAGTACCAGATTATGATACATGGAATAATTCCATAACCATGTATAAAAGGTGCCAACTAATTAAATCTGATCAGTCCATTGTTCATGTATCTGGTTGTTCAAGTGTTGGTAACAACTAAACAACTAGTAAAACTTAAGAATCATTATGGTTCTTTTGATTTATTCTCCCGTCTGCAAACTATCAGTGTACAACACTGTCAGTTATGTTTTGAGCATGTTTGTAAGTTACAGGGGGTTTACTTCAGTCTGGTATACTATTTTAAATTTCTAAATAACTGGTGAGAAGTTTAAAGCCTGAGTTTCAGGCCTTACAGTGCGCATCAGCATAAATCTTCTGACTTCGAAAAAAGACTATTATTCCACTCTATTGTATCTATTAGATGCATCACGCTTTGGACATTATTCACTGTCCATGTTCATATCAAGTTAGCTCCAAAGCTTTGAGATACGTTTTATACAATTCTGATCTATCTCCTCCTTTGTAATAATGAATTTTCTAAGTATTTGAAGCAGGTGTTGAATCAATCCTATTACAAGTATTCAGAGGTAACTCGACAAACCAAAATTCTGTTATCAATCCCTCTGTCTCTCCATCAAACAGAGCTAGTTTTCAATACTGTCGATCTGTCCCACTCTGTTTCGTGATTGTGTGCAGTCGCAGGCATACCTGTAGTCGAGATTTTTTGTAAATTCTTTAGTATATCATCATCTACCAGTCCTGATTTGGCCAAACGTTTGTACTTCAACTGAGGTAAAATAATCACAGTTATTTATGAAGGGAAAAGCAGTGGACCTTACATTAAAGTATATATATAGCACCATGCAATAGGAAAAGTATCTCTTAGTCATAGTCGCTCACCCGTATGTGTATAGGTGTGTTTTTTCATATCAGATTTTTGATGGAAGCGTTTACCGCAATATTGACATGGGTAAGGGCGTGTATCACTATGTATTAACAAATGTGTACTCAGAGTAGATGAACGTTTAAATGTTTTCCCGCATTGTGGACACTGAAATTGTCTATCTTGACAATGAACACTTTCATGTTGATACAAACTTGTAATATGACCAAATGTTTTCTGACATAGTTGACACTCAAATGGACGTTTTCCACTGTTGTGTGATCTGTTCAATTCAAAGAAAACAATGAGAAACAACATTAGTCAAAGACATAGACGTCAGTACTAAAATATGCCATAGATAGACATTTCATGCTGATAATACCAGTGGAAAACAGCCGGTTAGGTCTTCAAACAGTCTCTTTTGATGACTATTCTTCGCTTTCCCCTGTAATTAATTATATAGGTTTATGTTTATCCGAAACACTACCTCTTAAGATTTTCACAAAAATTTACTCTTTAAATTAAGTATTTTCAGATTATTTTCTTTCAGGATTTAGCAATATTCTAGAGGATTATAATAATCCTTCGTAAACTTTTAGATGTTCATATTCGACTTGATGTATATACCGGAAAAAGTTGTTAGAGTATTGAGAACACTGAAATGCTATTTCATAAAGATTGTAAGCAAGAAGGCTATAAGTTTTGAACAGCAAATCAATTCAAAACATCAGTAGTCTACAGTTCAGTGTCATTTTGACGATGTGAATGACTTTCATAGTCTTAGAGGAGATTTCTAGCTGGACATACACAGCTAAGTATTCACGCCACTCATCAATTGGCATATTTTGGTGCGTTAGTCCTGCATCGTCTTACTAACTAGTTTGACCGTGCGTTTCAGTTTGTTGACACGATTCTACAACCAATCGTTCTTATTTGATCTTGTAGTTGTAAATTCAGGACAATTGTACTTTATTACTGGTTGATATATGCTTTCGTTGTGATCACGTTTGCATATCTCAAAAGGTTATTTACTACTGCACTTTAATTGTATTAATTGAGTGTTTTGTACATAATATGCCAACCAGTTTTGTTATATTTTCATTCCTTTAAGTGATTATATCTCCATTTTACTGATAATCTGTATTATTAGCAGAGTTTAAGCACAGGTGTCATTATTGTCGTTTACAGAAGCACATCAAGCCGTCTGATAAGCAAGAATAGTAGTATTTTGCAGCATGACTTTATTGGTACTCATCTTACATTCCAGCTTCTGTTCCCGATAAAACGGGGGGATATTTGATCTATGCCAAGGATTAACGTAGATAGATAGGAACCATTGAATCTGACAGTGAGATTCCATGAAAAATATTAAAGTCAAATAAACTACTGGGTGCTACAGAGATGAGAGTTTATGATCTGAATTGAGTGGCTTTAAAAAAAAACTTTGTCAAAGTCTAAAGTAGCTGGCAAAAAAACACGAACATAATCACTATTAACAGGCGCAATAAAACACCAAGAACCTAAGGATTCTCTGATCATTTGTATTAAGACAGTTGTACTTTAAAGACTGTTTGTTTCACGAAAAGATAAGTATCAACAATCACTTCTCTATAAATAACTAACCTTCTGACATGTACTTCCAAGCCATGTGCTGTAGCTAAGTATTTATTGCATAAGTTGCATTTGAATAGATTCATCTGAAGATTTTGTGAATTCTGTTCAACATCCAAGATAATTTCTCCTTCATCGGAATCATCGAGTTCACGTGTTTCAAGGTGATCACTGTCACTGAGTTCATTATCCTCTTCTCGACCAGCAACTAGTGGATCTCCATTGTTCTGCATAAACTGCAGTTGTTTATCACATTCTGTTGATTTATATTTTAATTTTGCTTGATTAATAGTAGTATGAGAATCTATAGTATTACTAAAATTTTTGTGAGTAGTATTGACACTGAACTGCAGTTTTTAATATGATTTTCATTTGTAAGTGAAAGGAAGCAGGTATTTTCATTGAATTTTTCTTCAAGTGAATTCAACTGGTTATTATTATTATCTTCTTCTTTCCGATAAATTGATGAGAATTGCTCATTTGTTACTGTTGGATATGGATTTCTGAGATTAGACTGATCTAGTGAAGAGGTACTGAGATGTTGACCACAGTTCATTTGTATTTGCTTGATGGCTTCATAGAACAAAGAACTTAGTGTATGTAATTCACTAGGACTGAAATTTACTGGGGTTCCAAGTTGTTTGAGTTTTGCGTTAATTGCCTTGTAGGCATTGGGTGTGGTGGAGACTGTTGTGATGGTGATGGTAAGTCAGTTAATGAGGGTGTATCATGCACCGGTGCTCTTGCTGTCAATGAAGGTGCATTAATCATTTGAAGCCAGTATTGATGAAATCGGGATGATATTTGCGTTTGGGAAAGCAGCTGATTAAAATGATGATTTTGCAAGGAGGTCGGATTGATTAGATTCCCTGGCGTTATTTCAACAGAGCTATTGCTAAGTGTGGGATTCTGATGTCCAAGATAACACTTCGGTAATAAGGAGTCGAGCGACATATCAGATGAACTATTGGTATTGTTGTTATCGTTTGAGTCATACAATAAATTATTATCTATGTTGCCATTATTATCTTTCATTGAGAAACTAGGAAGGAGTTTATAGTTTAATCGGTGACTGTTATTCTCGACATTAGGGTTAGCATGAATCGCAACCATGTCCAGACTTCCAGGGACATTTCTGGAAGCTTCTTTCCTGGGATTAGGCTGCTTAAATTTATATTTATTATGACGTAGAGAGTTTATATTGAACGTGGTTGTCTACGAATTCGTAGATCTTTTGGTACTGAAGTAAGATGAAGAAAGATATAAAGATGATTTTAGTATGATGAGAAAATCGGGCAGATATATGAGTAACTGAATTATACTCAATTCCTTAAAACACTGCATACAAATAACATTTTTTTCTATTCAATGCAGGATATTACCGTTCCTTAATTTCTATGGTTTCAATAACGTTAAAGTAGGTATTTAAATCAATTCCAATGAAGTAGTCATTCAGTTTCGTTAGCACATTTGCTCCTTCAGAATTGCAGAGACTTTATAACCCTTATCTCCAATAAATTTAGATTACTTAATATATTATGATAAGTCGGTTGGTTGTGGCTAGCAGAAGAATCTAGGATGCGCGTTTCGTCCTATTTGGGACTCGTCAGCTGGGTGTACCTGCACCTCAGTGATGGGGTTCCTACTGAGACTGGAACCTCGTACTCATCGCTTCAAACATCAAGGCATTATCCACTATGCTGCGGAGGAACGATAGCCACTTCTTATAAAACGGGTAGCAGTTATTGCTATTTGTTGACATACTTATTATTCCCCGCTGTTTTGTTGGATTGAATTATTCGACCTCTAAATCGAAGCATCCGCATAGGAACCCATATGCCAATAGAGGTCGAACAATTCGATTCAACAAAACAACGGAGAATAACAAGTATGTCAATAAATAGCAATATTAATAGATTGTTTGATATTTTGTATCTGAAATAGTGACTATAGGCAACTGCTATTTATAATCACTGACTCATTTTCTATCCACAAGTTATGAATAAAATTTTAATTCTAGTCTAAAGGAAACAATTCTAAAGATTCTATACATTAGTTTCTTTGATAAATCTAAATTAAGTAAGAACGAACAGATTTTCAGAATATAATGATGTCGTTTTACATCACGAATATTCATCAACTACATACGCAAACTGAAATAATATATCTTAGTCAAGATCACTGATAATTTATGCATATTATTGGATGTGCTTCGCTTAGTCGTTCCTATGTATTCACCTCCACAAGTACATTTAAGTTGGTTAATACAGCCTGAGGTGACATGAGAAGGATGCTTTCGATTGACTAAATGAGAATGTAGTGCTTTAAATGAATATTAGTCCAGCAGAAGATAAACTTTTCAGTGCAGCTTTTTTCCGTTTATCTATTCCTTCTGATATTTCATCTCTCTTGAACGCCAGATCAACATAAAATGAAAGACATCTGCTTGACTTTATGAAATTTTACCAGGAAATATGTGTTTGGAATGAAGCAGAGATCTTACAACTCTAATAGCTAAACATCTGATGGAAATTAACTACTAAATAGATATCCCAAGAGCCTTCAAGCTGGTGTATAATCAAACATTTCCACGTTTACCATCCTTTACTGACAACCAAGCATTTTAAACCTCATATCCGAATACAAAAAGAGACTTTGATCAGTTTATCTTTACCATTATAATTCATTGTTATTTGAGACTACATCACTCCTATTTTCTTATCAAATGGTTTTTGATCACACTTATTTTGATGTTTTCTGATTCTCTATGAACTTACGCATTTCCTTGATTGTTCAGCAACTCGCTTCCATTGAATCTTTGTTTATTTATCAACGTTTTCATAGATATCGCTATATCAATCTAATGATATGCAGAAATCATCATTGATCTTGATTAAGATACATTATTTCAGTTTATGTATGCAGCTGATGAATACTCGTGTGTAACAAAATGATATCATATTATTCTGTAAATCTGTTCGTCCTTGTTTTATAGAAATGCTATTGATTAAGATAAACATCAAGTCCAACGTGAGCAAATGATCTGCAAAGTGCTAGTTTTTGTTCACTCGTTTATGTTTGACATTTCTGAATTTGCCCTCAAGTAAAGTGCTTAAACATCGCAAATTAGATAAATTCAAACTTCAAGTTTGTTATCCAATTGTTTTTCGAAAATTATCTATACTAATTGCTTTTACGTAACACTTAACAGGACGGTAAAGATTATAGAACAGAATACGAGAACTTACCATTCGTATTTTTTGAACCACTGATTAGTTTTTCATCCAACACTTCTCCATCTAGTCTGTCACAGATGGGAAAGCTGGGATGATTCACCAAATTTGAAGACCAAATGAATGACATATTTTTAAAATGGTTCTTTTTCTTAATGTTGTTTGCCAAGTCTTTACCAGTTGTCACTGTATCGGGTTTTGCATAGACTTCTGCCTTGTTGTCATATTTTAAAGCAGAAACATTGTTAGTACTGTTATGATGTGGGATTCTATGCATATTCGAAGAATCCATTGAGAATAATGAATAGGGATTTAACATGTTGATGTCATTAATGCTACTGTACTGATTCATTGTTGTTATGTCACATTGACGTACTTGTTTCAGACTATTTGAAAACTCTGGAAGAATTGTCATTGGATTGTATGTCATCATATAATTCGTATTCATTTGAGACAACCGAGTAAAATGATTTTACAGAACCTGAAATTTTGACAAAGGAGAAATAGAAGCAACTGTCTTGAAAAATTAAAAGGTATGAAAATTACAACATGAATGAGTGGGATGATTCCTTAGCATGCAATTCTACACTGCATTTGACTCAGTCCATCCTCAGTTGTATGAAATAATGAAGCTTGTTTAGAGTTGCTTAGCAGTTTTTCGGTTATGTAGCACCACTTGAACAATCGACTCATTGGTAATGGAGACCGAGAATCCTGAGCTTCAGATTATGAGTTGTTACACATATCTTGCTAAACGAGTTCCAAAAGGTGGGTCCTAAGCTTCATGTCGATTGCCTCCGACCAATTAACATGAGTCTAAACTGTACTACAGCGGTTTGTCTCTTAGCCTCATTACTACATTATGGAACAGTCCACAGAATTCGGCCAACAATCCGGAGTAGATAATATAAATCGCGAAGATCTCAAGTAACTAATCAGTGTAGATAATTTATATATCACAGTTTAAACAAGATGGATGTGATGATGTAATCTTTCAGAATAGTATTCGTCATGGAGTGATATAAATTGGGGACCACAGAAAACAAGGGAGCACTTGACAACTGCCCCATCCTAGTATGTAATAAATAAAATCTTTATAAACCTCAAACCTTATTGACAAATTTTTCCGTCTTGAAATCAGATGTCTGTGAGTTTAACCCCCTTAATTACCTACGACTAGTTAATATTACAAATTTTTAGTAGTAAATCAGAAGCAGTACAGGTCATATTTCAGTCACTGAAGTTGACTACACTGTGGTATGTTTTTTAGAACTGATAAAATGATGTACTGACCAGGCGCCTATAAAAAGGAACCCTCGTTATCCAGTTGTTTGAATATTTTGCGCTGCGTAGTTAGTTTACCGAAAGTAACAAACTTTCCGGTGCAAGTCTTCATGAGACTGTCTAGGATGCTTGATGTGTCGATCACCTTTACCCAGAGTTATATAGAGTTAACTACTTGATCAGGTTCTTATCTATGGGAAAAAGAAAATTATTCTAACGTGTACTGATCAACAGATTTAATATCCGAATGATGTAGCAGTTACAATGGACATTACTGATGTTTTGTAAATGCGTATGATAGGATATTTTCCTAAAAATTATAAAAGTCTGTCGAAAGTTATACCGATGCTTCAGATTCACTATACATTCGAACATATTATTCTTACAGTTTATTGATAGTGGCCTATCGGATAACGCTATGGCACTTGAAGCGACTGGTACTGGGTTCGAATCTTAGCGGGAACACTATTCCTGGCTCGGTGCAGGTACATCCAGCTGATTTGTCTCAAATAGAAAGAAACGCACGTCCTGGATTCCACAGTTAGCCACCAAGCAAACTGCAATGCAGTGAGAGAATTTTTCTGCTTTTAAAAAGGTAGAGGTGATGCAAAAAGGGAAACATTTTTCTGCAGTACTTTACTCATTTTACTTATTTTGAAAAGAAATTTGACAATTTTATCTTTGTAACAATCCATTCCTGAGTTTAGATGATTTCCAAAATGATGAAGGTTTGATAAGATACTTTAATCAGTCGGAAAATTCATGTTAGTATGTATCAAGAAAAGTTTGAATCTTCTGTTGAAAAGAATAACTGATATTGAATAACGGTTTGAGGCACGATATGACTCGAACTCTAATCTATAACTTACATATCTACCGATTTCAAATGTTTAAATAAAATATTAGATCCATTCTCTGTTGTCACTTATCAGTCATTTCACTCGTGACTAAGTAGTCTGAAATTATTGTATTTAGTCGAGTCGAGTTATGGTTTCGTTTTCATATCAGTTAGGAGTGGAAAATCATATCCCTCGTAGAAAATAAGAAAAGCTTAAGTGGATTGTATGATATGGAAATTTCGCAACCACAAATTGATCGTAACATGTTTAATAGTCTAATGAGGTATCAATGCTGAACATCCTGTTGTTGTCATTAAATATCAAGAGTCTTTTGATCAGCCTAGAATAATCCATCATCAGTGCTATCTGTTTCTGTTATATTTAAAGTCGGTAATAATTTCTTCTTAAGAATGCACTGTCATCTTTCACCTATGTCTCAGTTTGTGACCTAATATATCAGTGAGAAAAAAGTGTACAATTTAATCGGTTGAACGCTTTTATACATCGAATTCTGTAATAGCAAAACTTGAAACAAGTGAACGGTTTATCAGATGGAGTAAATAGACCACAAACTTGCAGAGTGCAACTTACGGCATTATAGCAATATAGTATTAAAGAGGAATTGTGAAAAGAACTACAATACTGAATCGTCTCATTAAACTTGCGTGGAAGGCAGAAAGAAAAGTTCTCATAATATTATGAAAGGGTTATGCATTTTTATGGATTTTGTATTAAACAGTGTCATGCTCTGAATGTATGTGATGATGAATATGTTATTCCTGAAATTAGATTACTGCACTTGGGAGTATCAGTTGTCAAACAAACAACTGATCCACACTAATTCCAGTCACACTAAGAAAGATTCTCTTAGGGTATCCGATATGTCTTGAGCATTAAAAAAGCAGATATATTTAGATAGGTGTTAGCATATCTAATGTAATAAATGGAAAATGAAGAAGGAGAAAACTACTCTGATAATATACGTTGGAGATTTATTTGTAATTCATCCAAGCACTATAAACTTACAGCCTTATGTAAGCTTATATATATATATATATATATATATATATATATATATATATATATGAATGTAATTCAACAATTTCATAGTTATAAAAGTGAGCACGTATTAGTTTCGATGAAGGCTTACGATAATATTTCAAACATCATTTTTATTCCCAATTTACTGAACTCCCTTTTCTTTGCAATACTAGATCAGCAGTTACGCTTTATAAAGACTGGTGGTAATGCCCTACTTACAATAAATTATCTGGCACAATACATGAATGGATTCAATGATAACTGACTAGATCATTTACACGTTTGAAATTTTGTTCAATCACAGTTTTATAGTTGTGTAAAAAGTGTTTATGTGAAATAATAAACACATCTGAAGCTCATGGAATTTAATAAATTATCGAATTGTCTTAAAAGAAATACTTGGTACATGAATAATCTAGTCAAAACTTCCAAAATGAGTTTGTTTTTAACTGTGGAAGACTATGTGTATTTGGTCATGTTTACTTAGCATATTTGTAATGCATCATAACTAGTTAACGGAGGATTTCAGATGAAATTGTTCTCCATATTTCAGGAAAGCTTTTCTCCTTGTTTGAAAGAAACATGGTAACACGGAAACATTCAAACAAAATGCGTCCCGTTTATGAATTCCCAAATATCAGTAACTCTGATGTAGAATACTGTGATTGTGTAAGATGAGTAATCTCAATGCTTAAGGGAATTGGCTACTGCTTTTTAACCATATTAGTACACCACGTGAAATGGAAGTTTGCAGTCGCTCAGTAACTCATATTAAGGTCATCACGGGTGTTCATTCTTCCCTTGCTTAGTATATCTTTAGGTGGTTGTGGATATGTGTACTTTAGCAACAATAATCATTATCATAATTCAGCTTACAGTAGAATATGCAACATAAATTCAGAAACAACAAAAATAATTCAAGTCAACAGATGAATTTCAATATTAACTTACAAAAGATGTAATATGACATAAACTCTAAGATCCTTTGCAGTATCCAGTAAGAGAAATATAAGTAGTCCGACTACTTGATTTTCAATTTAAAAACCACCTTATTCCCTTAACTTGTGAACGTAACACGAATGTGTATATAGTGGTCAGAAACAATATGAATCAACTGTGAAAGTCTACAGTTGGAAAGGAAGCCGTAGTAAAATATTGGTTGGAGATGGGAGCACGAAACTGAGCGGATTCGCAAATCAAAGAAATCTGTTCTCAATATTCTCTCTTCAATTTTTAAAGGAGATGAAAGAAGTTTCTACTCTCAGCTAGTTGTGGTTGTGTTCATCTGTATTTTCAACTACAGTATATGTTCCCCAGTATCTTTTTCTCTTTGTCCATGCATGGTAGTGAAAACAGATTGAAATAATCTTGAAGAAAATGTTTTCTAGTCTACCTACCAAACCAGAAATCATTCTCAATCTATGAATCTGTCTCCCTCTCCGTTGTTTATGTGTCTCTTGTATACGCTAACACATACACTTGCTCACTCAAACTCATCTTTTCTCTCCCATACCTGCATGTTGACAGTGATCTTATTGATTAATTCAGTCTCTTTCTCAATCCTTCTACCATCATACAATCTTCTTACCAATCTAGTATGCAATTGGTGAATCCCCCTTTTATTTCTAAATCTTTTCATCAATAGGTCGTTTTAACATAAAATCAAGGTAGAGTAAACAACATGGGTTGTGGTCTTAGACAGACATATACTCAATCAAATGCTTTCATTATTGACTATATTCTCACTTATGTATGTGTGCCTGCATACCTGTGCGCAGTTGAATTCTACGTATATTTGATCATCACGTATTTTCTCTTTGCTTTCATCTACTATTCTCAAACAATGGGCAGCCTTACCAGCTATAATAATAATAATAATAATAATAATAATAATAATAATAATAATAATAATAATCGCAATGGTAACACCAACGTTGCTTCAATTCACTTCAACTGCTAGCAGGAATAACGCTGGTGTTTCCAAATAATCTGTGGGCAATGGCAAGAGATTTACTTCCCATAGAGAAAAAACGAATGAGTTGAAATGCATATCAGTGATATATACTGACATATTAACTTCTTTGTTGATTGGCTAGTTAGTTATTTGGACATATAGTAGGTTAATTAGAAGTATAGTTACTCAATTAATTTGCTTACTGGTAGGCTGTAGAAATATATTGCTTGTTGTAAACAAATACTTAAAGTCTAGTGAAGATAAATTACTACGGATTTTACTTGTATTTCGTTCGGTCAAAAGTAGTAGCATAACTTTCGATTTTGAAGGGATTTTGACATAGTAGTTAAAAATTAGATATGA